TGACTTCCACCCTTTCAGGCTCCGAAGAAGGTGAATTCACCGAAACGTCAGCCACTAATAAAGATCGTTGACAACCTCGTGTACAGTTCAAGAAGAAACAACTACTACGGTTTTCTGATTTTGTGTCTCTTCTTGTCTCTTGTTCTTCCGTGCTAAAGTGCGGTACTGTTGCTGCTGAACATATGTAGGTGCTGTTTAAGGTGAAAAGTCGGCAAACGTGAGGCCATTCTCCAATTCCTTCTCGGACAGAGGCCGGACCTTTCCACCACCATAAGGCTGATCGAGATGTGCTTATCTGCTCCTCGAGTAGCGATTAGGATCTATTGTCATTGGTATTAATAAATCCAAAGTGTACTGGTGCTGCGATATCGGATACAATTTTTCTGATTTCTTCACAAATATTCCTACTGATTTCATTTCAATTGGCTGTGAAGTTATCCTGCTGAGAGCAATTGCTGAATCCGAAAGAACAGTTGCACCACCAACTGTTGCTCGAATATGCGCAAGTCGAGTTGCCATAGTTAAGGCGTTTTGCTCCAACATCGGAACTGTCACTTTTTCCTTCAAATACAGTAGTTTTACTCTTCCTATAAGGAGATTGGTTTCTTTGCCGGATACGAGGTATGCGCACGTTGCCATCGCTTGTGTCCTGACATCCGAGAACAGAATGAGCTTTGAGTGCTTCCCAATTTGTGCAGCTCTTCTGGGTATGGTGTGGTGGAAATTTTCAGCTGCTTAAGCGATGACTATCCATTGTTGTTGATGCTCTCTCGGCAGTGTTTCGTCCTATTGATAATTGAATTTCCACAGTTGTTGAAGGGATCTTTTTCCGTTTAGTGTCAATGGTGCAAACCATCTTAGAGGATCATAAATAGCGGCAGCTTGTTCCTAGACTGATCGTTTTTGATATTCGACTTCTTTGGACAGATGCATGCGAGGGAAATGTCATTGCTTCTTGTGTTCGATGTAATTCCAAGGACTTTTATTTCTTCAGATTGGCACAGATCCGTCGGTGCAAATTCGTTCTTCAAAGGACTGTTGTTTGCCCTGAAATTATCGTGAGTTCATGTTGAGCTCGGTAAGTTTCTCTTTGTGTCTTTGAAGATGTTCAAGACCATTCGTTGAAGATGTTGTCTATATAAGGTTGTCGATGTAAATATCGTCTTTCATATTCTTTGCTAGCTCTTTATCTTCTACCATCGTCTTGAGTGAAGACTGATTGTTCCATCAAGCAGGAACGGCGAGCAGTTCAGTGAAAGTGACGCGAGTGAATCGATACGTGGCGATGCATTCTTGAGTAGGTGGGTCATGCATGCTCCAAATCCACTTGAATCTGGTCGCATCTTTATCCCATGGGTGTAGGCGAACTTGCAGGAAGGCTTTCTCTACGTCGCTAATGATGGCTGTTTCTCCTATCCTGAAGCGAAGTAAGATGTCACAAATTTTCGGAAGGATAACTGCACCTTGATTCAAGTCGTCGTTGAGCGATGGACAATTCTTGAGGTGTGCGGATGCTCGAATACGATTCTGAGTTTTGTAATCGTTTTTTGAGGGGTAATGACTGCATAATGCGCTAATTAGCGCACAGTTTGTCCTTCAAGACTTCGCTCTTCACTGACTTCTTCGATTATTCCCTTTTCCAACTGGTTCATGATCGTATCATGGTACTGCTGTAGTATGGCTTCATTTTTCGTTAAATGAATCAACTCAGCCTTTAGCCGTCGATAAGCGAGCTGTTTGTTGTCCGGTAGTTGACTGACATTGGTTTTCCAAGGGAGGCTTACGTAGTAACCATCCTCTCGTTTCTCAATATTTTCTTCGAATGTCTTCCAGATTGCTACGTTTGTTAAACGTCGCTCTTCGGAAGAGTTTCCAATGAATTAGCGAGTGCCTGTTCTTTCAAACTCAAAAAATTGTTATCATGCTTGCTCTAGGCTCGACTGTGGTTGAAAACCCTTATAATAAATTGTTCCGAGAGTGCTCTAAACAGAAGTTTTCTCGACATATCTTTGTTTTGCATGTCTCCGTCCTGATATGAGGTTTCCCAGTTTGAATGGAACCAACCTTAATCCCGATGGTAGTGTACAATGTGCTTTCGATCCAGTATCAAGTAGGGAAAAGAGATGAGCACATCCAAGTAGAACGGTTGGTTGGACAGTTTTGATGAAAGGATCAATTTAAAGATGCATGTCGTTTTCCGACAAAAATTCCTTGTATTCTTTGCTGAGACTGTTGCGAGGTGAAAGCATGCTGATCGCCTTGATGTTCCCACACTTTTATATCGTTTTGCCACAGTTCCGTATTTGGCCTTTGTGAACCTAATTTATTAATCTTTGGTTTCATCGTGTCGATGTCGTTGTGTCGAAGTCGATGAGTCAAGTCATTGCGGATGAATGAGCGATCCGCCCCTGTGTCGAGCATGATATGAATAACTTCATGAACTCCTGTCAAAGGATTCAGAACTCAAGCCTGTGCGACTAGAATTAGGGTATCTAGCTTATCTTCTGTGTCGCTGATATGTTGAACGTTGTGGAGCTGGCTTTGAGGGGTCTACAAGAGTTGCCGTCGTGCACTTGGTCCATGAAGGACGCTTGACTGGTTGTGGCTTGGTTGTATCGGTTGATATATGTTTTTGAAGGAGAACTGTCTGGTTGCTCGACAAGAGGCTCAGCTTTCTACAGATGGGAGTATATGACTCGTTTCACTGCATATACTGAAAGCTCCTCTTGTGCAGACTGAGGCTTTGTGATCCCTTTCGTCACGGTTATGGCAGAGTTTTTATTGATTCATTATCTCAGGACGCTCTTTCAATGTTGTGGAGTCCCGCGGTTTGTGTCCACTTTTTCCGCTATAGAAACAAGAGCTCTGACGAAACCTGCGATGTGCGGTTTCGTGAGGGACGTCTGTTTTCGTCCATTTGGTAACACTGATAGTCCACTGTTTCATTTGGTGGGATACACGGGTTTCATCATTGACGTACTCTTTCAACAGCAGCTATTGAGTATCCCATGTACCGTCGGCTTTCTGTTTTGGTTTTTACCGGAGGGTGTATCTTTGTTCTTGATTGATTGTTCTTGATGTTCTTGATTGTTCTTGATTCGCAGTTGAGAGATGATGGAATCTAGTTTTTCGCAAAGAATTTCCTGATCTCCTAATCGACTAGTTTGAGGCTGTGTCGCTTGAAGATTGCAGTAGTTTTTCGATTAATGCTTCCTTGCCGCCATATTTGTCTTTGAGGTATGCTTTCACCAGGGGATAGGTGTGTCCTGAAATTCGAATTGCTTCGCTGACTCTTTAGTATTTCCGTGGAGAACATCCAGGAGGTAGTTGAGTTTGTAGAAATCATCAATATTTCGCGAGTGAACGGTGCGTTCCGACGTTTTCCAGAATGTTTCCTGTTCCCAGATTTCGCATTCAAATTTGGGGATGGGGACTGGAGCTAGCTTCATTCCTGCTGCTTTAGATGAAGCGGGGGGGGGTACTTCAGAAGCACGATTTCTTTTGAAGTAGGGTCAAAGTGGTATGGGCTTCCTGTTCTTCAGCCAGTAGTTTGCGCGCTCCCTCTGCAACTGTTCAAGTTCGGTTGCTCTCCCGGCTTTGCTGATCCTCTGTCTGAGTGCGTGGCGGTCTTCTGGTCCTACTCCTGAGTTTGGTCATAGTGTGAGATCTGTTCGACTCCATAGAACAGAGGTCAGTCTCTTCGTTGCCCGCCGAAGAATTCCTTGGCGGTTCGCTAAGGACATTGACATTTCCAAAGGACAGGGCTGCGTCTTCTCGGTTGTCCCTGTCTTCTTAATTTCTTCTCGATTTCTCTTGATATCTTCCTTCTTCGTTTTCCTGGGCTCCTTGAACGCCGATGCGCCAGATGTGGCTGTCTATCGGGATGGACTGTCGGAGAGAAGACGAAGATGAGGAAGTGTTGATTGTATAGCAACCAACCCTTTTATAGGGCTATCACAACACTCATTATCACTCCAGTTCTTGTTGATCATGCTCTTCTTCAAATGACACCGGTTGTTTCGGTGGGGTTATAGAGGAATCTCTATATCCAGCTCTACCACAGAGCATGCTTTGGTGGGCTTTGACGCTTCCGCCCATCCGCGCTTTGTTTCTTATCCGCTCGCCTATTGCGTGTTTTGACGGGATTGCAACGATAGGAACCGTTAAAGGATAAAAGGATAAAGCCTTCGCCGTTGACCAATCCCTTTGTGGGATGCGGCACGCATTCTACTTCCATTCGGGATCGTAGTGGCTTATTGAATGGGATGTAGCCTACAATGACTTGCGGGGGCCAGCCGATGTACAAGTCAGTGTCATTATCCTTCCAGACAAATCTGGTATCAATTTACCGTCCCCGTAGGGTAGAAGGCTTGGTTGGCCTAGGCGGGAAGTCGACCTGGGATTTGAACCCAGGACCGCGCGAGTTGTGAGCGCCCCGCTTGTCACTGAACCACCTCCTGCCCTAGGAACCATTATAACTATCCAAAGTGGAAATCAGCTCATCAATTGAGAATTTTCCACAATATTTTTCTAACTCCTAAGTTAACTTGAATAGCGGCTGCAGCAAAAACTAGCGCTGTTTCGTTGTATTAACTACTCCACGGTAATGGAGTAAATCAACCAATTTCTCACAAGTGAGCTCCTCGTTTTGGCAGTCGACGACTTGTTCGGAGAGATATTTCTTTGATAACTACAAACGATGTCTTCAACTGGTGCCAAAGGCGGTGTGTTTGCTAGCTCCTAAAGAACTGTGTGAAGGCAGAAGCGATAATTTTGTAACCTTATACTCCGCAGCGATCATTAGATTTTTAAAAGATTTCTCTTTTTCTCGGAAGTCCGGATGGTTGGCAAGAAGGATGTACTAGACTCTCCAAAATCAGATATCTCTGACGAATTTGTAGGCTAAATTGTGATTTTGACCCCAAATCCCGCGCGGCCGCGCGGTGTGACAGTCGACCACCAATGTTATTTTTTTCTTGCGACGACGTGCTGTTTTCAAAATGACTCCGGCTTCTTTCGGGCATCACCTACAGAAGAAATGGGTGTTCCCTATTACGCTTGCGGTAAGGCCTAGTGAGGCAGTGCCAACTAAGTCTTGAATTTGCTTCGAAAAGTCATGAGTTTGGTCTCGAAATTCGTTATTTTGGTTTACAATTTGTCGAATTTGGTTTGAAAAGTCGTGAATTTGAAGTGAAAAGGGTGTATATGTTTCGGTTTCGGTTACATGATATGTTGTATATTTTGGTGACATATTTCGATATGTTGTATACATTTGCAAACAAACGCAACTTTTGTGGTTGGATGCCGTGTTGTTATTTAACTTCCGCAGTATCCGTTTTCACTGCTTAATTCACCAACAACTAGATGCTCAGTTCGTCGGAACAACGCATTACATGGCTGATAACAGCTGATGCAGTATGAACTTGATTTCTTTTATGACGAGGATGAAGCTGTGGGGTCGTACGATGTCCAGTGAAGGTGGAAAGTTTGCGCTATCTCACTTATACTACCTGGCGAGGTATCTATTGCTTCATCGCTCAGTGACACAGAAGCGTCCTGTGAACGCATTTCGAGCGGACCGTGAAACACTATGCCTTGTCAATTTGACCGTGGTAGTTAAATGTCACTAGAAAATATGAACAGACTTTACAGCAGGAGTATCTTCCATTCCTCACCAACCTCAGTCTTTCTGAAGATAAAAACAAGTTTGCTGTGGATTACAGAAAGGCTGATCCCATTGTGAGTCTTTGCAGTAGAACGTTGCAGTGGGACTTGCAGGAAGTTTCGAAGTTTTCTGTTTTCAGTATCTCAATAACTTGGACACTGATACGCGTTACAAGCACTGGAAGAACAGCGTCAAAATGTTGCTCGAGCCCTACTACCCTGGTATGATTCGACCGATTGCTCGAAATCTGTTTACTTTAGTGAGTCTCTTACCTTTTCACAACTGAGTAGATGACTTGAGGCAGGAGGAACTATTGTATGCAAGAGATCGGACTTGTTACCGACACGCTCACTGATTGATTTTTGATTGACAGATGGCCTTTGCGGTTTTCGTTACCGTCTTTGTGCGAAAGTGACAAATTTGAATAAACCGAAGCATCAGTACTGATATCACATTATATTGTTCCAATATTTGACTTTGATCTCCTATTATTTCTCTGTCATTCAGTTAGGTGCATGCATACTATTGGGCTGGCTTATGAGTAGTGGCAATTTTCCCTCAAAGGAAAATTTTTGCGGGAAGTGATTCTTTTTACCCAATGCGTTCTATTTATTTAATATACAGATAATTTTCTGCTCTATTAGTGAGTGTGCTTACCAGGAATGTCAGCAGGTCGCCATGTCCATTCAACATGGGGTGCATATCGACGTGTACGTCGGCGGACGCTGAACTCGAATCTGCTTCCAAAATCTGCGGAACGATCCTCGGCGGAGTTATGGGGTGGGGGTTTAGCATAGCATTTGGCGACCCTTCTTTGTGGTAGCTCACTTAAGCTCGGAAATAGACAGTGCTAAGCGGTCGATAGTGCAGTGGATAGGTAAGGCGATTTGAAGGTGCGAGCTCAGGACTTTGATTACTTGGCAAGTTCGTGTTTTTACTTTTTTTCGAGAACATCTTCTGTAAGCCGCGAAGTAATCTTATTCCGTTATTTTGTCGAGCGTTCTCTCATTCGTAGCAGGGAAGGAGTCAAACGCCGGCACTTTTTCAGTTGTGCTTCTTTTTCGAGACTTTCTTTGTGAAATTCTTTGTGAAATTGTGAAACCGGTTGACAGATTTTTACAGATGAGTGAATCAAATTACAAATATTAGATTGGCGGGGAAGTTCTGTCACTTTTTTTTCCAAATTAGGCTTTCCTTTTATAGGGAGGCGTACAAGATCAAAATTATACAGCAATTTTATTGTTTGATCCTTGCTAGTTTTTGAACACTTCGTGGATGCCATCACTTCACAATGCAGGCCGGCGCAACGCAGAGTTGGACGTCATGTCAGGCTTGGGCTCGAGTCGTGGATGTTTCCTCGTCAATATGACATTGAGTACGAGAGGTAACTAGCAGTTAGGAAGAGTAATGTCTGGGCCACAGCGGTGCACGGGAGAGCCATCCAGCTCTATTGCATGAGGTGGGGCTTGACCATTTTTGGACGGAGTGGGCGGCACTATCACGTTTAAGGCGGACTGCGCTGACAGTTTTCCCCTCTGGTCGACAGTCCACACATCTCTTACGTGCTTTGCGTACGGGTTGACCGAAGAAGCAGCTTCCACATCCAGCAGTTTCCCGACCCACAGCCAACTCAAGCTGAGTTCGTAGGTACATCTTCTCACTTCGTCATTCAAACTGTAGGTTCGTGGAAGATTGTCCGATTTTTGTAGACATCGTCCTTATGCAGCTCAATTATTTCGGCATCGACAGCTGTCATGTCGGCGCCAGGATGGTAGGAGAAAGGGTTTGACGAAGCGCTGGGGTCGATGCCGAAGGTAGGTGATAACCTTCTTGTCCATCTTGCAGAAGAGATAGATGACGGAGAATAGAGTCCCGACCGAGTATATAAAAATTAGTATCGTGAGCTACTACGTACGATGTGAATCCAGAACGATTCTAGGTGTGATAAACCTACACGTTTGCCATCTTCATGATGTGACCTTTCACAAAAGGACAGTCACTAGTTTTTCCCTGTTATCTCGTAGAATGTTTTGCCTCAAGCTGGTAGTAGCGTACGTGTTGAGGGTCTCCTGCTCATGTGAGATCATGCGCTACGTCGGGAAGAACAATAAATAATAGGTAAGCTCTCGTCTATTCTGCGGAAGGCGTCATATAACAAACGTCCAGTCTAATGACGAAACAAACTTTGAAGAGGATACGGAAAATCTTCTATGGAGCCCGGACGGTGAAGAGGCAACAGGTTAAGCAGAGCGTCACAGGGGTCTTTCGTTTTTGGTGAAACAGAAGCTGTAAAGGGAAGGTGGGCGTTCATTTACTCGAGACACGGTACAGCATCGTGATGTGTGAAGTGGTGGTGTAGGAACGACACCCTCCCCCCCCTCCAAGAGAGGGTGTCAGTACGACCCCCTTCCCTTCCCCCAACACCTACCTATCAATTTCCCCATATTTTCCATTTTTTTTCGCCTGAAAATTTTGCTGTCGAACGGGAGGGGGGGGGGTACAATGCGTAACAAAAGTATGTGGACACCTCAAATTTTGATTTTGCGAAGTTGCCTTCGGACTTTGCGATCTCAGACCATCACTGTTAGATTCCTCATAAGCGAAAGTATAGGAATGCACTACTTCTGAATACATTGCGAGCTACAGTACAATTATTTATTGTTTTGAAAAAATTTCTCAATAACAAAAGTATATGGACACCTTCAAAGAAAGTTCAAAGTTTGGCTCCAAATCTGCAACCCACATCTATCCTCTCTGCTCACCATTAACCTGTACTCATGCCTCGTCGTGGTAGTACTCTCTCCGAAGAAGAACAAGCTCAGTTTCGAGCTCTCAGTGCTGCTGGACACTCAAATGTAGAAACTGCACGACAGCTCGGACGTTCGGCGCGAGCTTTGGTAAATACCTCCAGAATCCCGATCGATACCATTCAGCACTTATTTCGGGGCGCCCACGATCTTTGTCCGCGAAAGACATCAGAAGAATAGCGCGTGTCGCCTCAAACTCCCCCCTTTCTGTGAGACAGATCCATGCTGCAGTGAATCTACCGGTCTCAAAAATGACCATATGGCGCTATGTATCAAATGAGCATATCACACGAGAGGCCATGAAGAAAGCTCCTGGCCTACTGCCCAACACCAGCTGGCGAGACTAAACTTCTTGCGTGCAAACATGGCGACGTCGTGGGACAAGGTGAAGTTTTTTGAGAAATTTGTAAAATCAGAAAGACTACATCTTATGCGCTTTTCTTTCTTAGGTTATCTTCACCGATGAAAAAAATTTCAATCTCGACGGTCCAGGTGGATATCGGTACTCTGGAGAGACCATCGTCGCGATCCGTTGATGTTCAGGCGAAATTTCGGAGGCGGCTCTTTGATGGTGTGGAGTGGTTTTGGAGTCAGCGGAAAGTTGGAGCTCGCCTTCCCATCGTGCCTTATGAACAGTCAAGAATATCAATGAGTGCTCGAATCCAACCTCTTGCCTTTTCTGAGGAGGCCACGACGCGGGACACGTGCTGCAGCAGGACAGCGCCACCGTGCATGTTTCAAATTTACTATAAAGTGGCTCCAACGCATTGGTAGTATCAAAGTGATGGATTCCGGCATGTTCTCCTGACTGCACCCAATCGAAAACCTGTGGGGAATTATGGTTCGACGAATTTACATGAACAATCGGCAGTACAACAACGTGCGAGAACTCAAGAAGGCTGTAGTGGCTGCATGGGAGGAAATGGAGCACCAAGTTCTGACTTCCATGATACTTTGTTTTTAAGTGTCCACATACTTTTGTTATTAAGAAATTTTTTCAAAACCATAAATCATTGCTCAGTAGTTCACAATGTGCTCAGAGGTAGTGCATTTCTACACTTTCGTTTATGGGGAATTTAACAGTGATGGTCCCAGATCGCAATGTCCAAAGGCAATTTCGCAAAATCAAAAATTGGGGTGTCCACATACTTTTGTTACGCACTGTATATGTAGTACACATGAAACAGGAAAAGCACGAAAAGTCAACAACCGGAAATAATTTCTCCCCAATGCGGCAAACTTCTCTCATACGCCCCCCCCCCTCCCCAGCGGAAAAGTACGACCCCCTTAGGCTGCGTTTATACTTTGCGGCAGCGTAGCGTAGCGCTTGCAGCGTACGCCTGCATCCACTCTTCGGCACTGCCGCTGGCGTACGCTGGAAGCGCTACGCTACGCTGCCGCAAAGTATAAACGCAGCCTTACGTGTTTCACACAACGATGCTATACCCTGAATCGGGATAGCTTCCAAGATTAAGCAGTGATGAACTACACTATAGAGGGACGATACTATCGCATATTACCGATCACCTGCTAAAGGGACTCGTTCTCTTGCTTATATGAACAAGAAGTATCTTACGGCAGCTCGAACGAAATCGTGATCTATCCAGTTACCTAGAAACCTAGCGTTTCATGTCGGCTTTGAAACTTTGGCTGATAATCCGATGTGTGCGGTGATGTCGAAGGTTAATTCGGGCATCATCATCACGGTAGTGACATCCGAAGATTGGCAGTGAAGCTCAGTAGAGAACGCTTCAGTAGAAAAGTTCAAAGCGAGCCACGGCTGGATCCGAGATTCTTAAGGAAGCTGCGGAATCGTGTCTCGCATCACCACTTTTACTTCTAGAAAGACTTTTCACAACGTAAGCTTATTGCTGGAGAGGCTCAAAACTTCATCCTAGAAGTGAAAGAAGGTAAATAAGTGTTTCACAACTTGATGTGATAATTTTTTTGTCATGTGCTCACTAAAATAACATTATTCCCAGAAAAGGAAGACCAACCACTGAGTTCAATCTGCAACACTGATCAAATCTGCCTTCCTCAAAAAACCGCACACAGCTCGATCATAAGCCGTCAGATGATCGAAGAAAGTTGAGAGATGGTGCAATCTCATCAGCTGCTGCACATTCTTCACTGTAATGCCCTTGCTGTTCGCTGATGGCCACCTAGAGAAAGCAGTTTCCGTGGTAATGCAGACCCGTTTCACATCAATGCAGATTATTTAGTCACTTCACTTCGACAGTAATCTAATGGGGAGTTTTCTTCAAAGAAGACTTGCGAGCTCCCAACCTGTTGGTACGTGCAGGTAAAAATCATATTATGTAAGCACCATGTGCTGGACTGGGTGCAATCCTGTGTTGCATCTTCGGAGTCAACCCCAATCAACACTTCTGGTGATAGACACGTAGACCTTCTTCAAGAACCAGGAGTCTATTCAGTTAACTCTACCGCCTGAGAAGAATTTTTAAGTCCTCAACATACCCGCAGGCGCTACAGCCTGATTCCATCCTCTCGTATGTTTATCCTTGCCTTTTAAGTCTATGTATAACCCTTTC